TTAGGTGCCGTACGCGAGCGCCGGTTCGAGTCACGCACGCAGTACGCGTTTACTATAATTAGACATAGTCTTTACCTTGCCGTTTATTTGGTGTTATTTGCTTACTATTATATACTGACGTTAGTAGTACAAGTACAGTACGCAAACAACTCGTCTTTTACTCACCTCTGGAGGTTATCATTGACCTCGGTTGGATTGGATACCAGTAGATTGGTATTTCTTTGAGCTGCTAGATCCCATGGTTACTTTTTAATACAACGTTGTGGTAAATAACTGATTCGTGAGAGACTTTACAACAGATGTGCACAAGGCAAAAAGACTTGGAGAATGGTTTCTTGGCAACCAAACGTTCTATACCCACAGTGCAATGCATTAAACAGTCACGTGGTACCATGGCGCGCTCGACACTATTCGAAGACGCTCTTACAACAAATACAATTTTTGTACAATTCTTACATATATCTTGTTATTATTTTAAAACTCTTTTTCGCTGTACTTATCCTATGTAAATCTTTTTACACGGAGGCAATAAAGTTATTATTATTATTACAACAACAGACTGCAAGCACGTTTCTTTGCCAATCGGAATACTTTCTTTGGGTACCTGCAGTTATTTATGATATCATTCTACTCATATGCCTTTGTTCTCGAAACATGTCTCTTATACACCTCATATTTTCTTCAATATCTGGAAGAAATTTCAGGTGAAATATACCCCGTTTGTGAAAGTATAGAATAACAAAACTACAATGTATACTTTAATTGTCTGGCTGTGTACAAGTTCGAATAGGTTTACTGGGACAATATATTTTGCGTCTTGACATTGAGTTGTCTATCAAAGTGAATTTCCCCATTAGTGTGCTCAGTGAGGTAATTGTACCTTTGAAAGGAATGGTTCGGTTTACACAGCTAGTGTTAGAAATGAGACAACCTCTAGAAAACTTAAAGTTTATTGTGTTCAATAAAACTGATAAAATTAGGAATTTGTTTCTTTTATATCAATGTTTTAAACACTAACACATATTTGCATTTTTGGAATATTGACTTTTCACCTACGTGCGTATTCATTTTCTGGGTGTAGCAGAATACAAAATAATAATTGGAAAATTTCTGAGAATAAATTATAGTGTGTTCAGGGTGTTTTCTTGAATGTTTTAGAGATCTGGTAGGACGATAATTACGCCGTCAAGAAGCTGGCATTTTCTTGCAAATATACTGGATCATCAAGAGAAACATTATTTTTTTTTACATTTAGCTCAAACATTTGGTGTTCAGGAATTCTCCGTCATTAAAAACAAGACAAGGTGTGACAACATTTTTAATAATTTACTTCATTCGTGTATAGAAGGGCTGTGGACAATATTGTGATCAAGACTCGGTGACGATGAATATGCGATAATTATAGTACTTTATTCTGTAGACGAATGATACCTGGCGTATTATACAGTGTCTCCCATGACGTCAGCCAAGGTAGTTAATGACCCTCCTATGTGCATTGAATGTCTATTTGTAAGTCCTTTTTTAATCAGGTCAATCACATGACATTTTGATTTCACAATGACACTAAAAATAAGTGAATGTATATGAGCAGTTTCTTTAATAAGGAATGCTAGACATTGATATTGACACAAGACGTGGCGTGTCTGAACGTGTGAACATGGTCTAGGCATGCGCAGTACTTTGAAATGTTAACCCTCGATGTTAAGAAAATAAAAAACTAATATTGCATGAGAAAGGTAACATGCTGATATTTACAATTGAATTCAATTTTAGCGTCTTATGCGAGCGACACACTAGATTGGTGACAGAAATGACTCGGAGATTGTCCTCAAAAAAGAAATATGAACTTAGCTAATTTTTAAATATTGAATTATGGTAACAATGCAATTGTTAATTTTAAAATGTTAATAAACAATACGGTGTATCATTTATATGCTACAGAAATTATTAGACCATTAATTTTCTAACATAAAATTTATTTTGATTTAAAATACAATAGTAATTTTGTTATTGAATTTGCAAGTATTATTTTTTAAATAATTAAACCAATAAAGTACATTCGAATGAATGTTTTAATTTTTTGGGCTTGAACTCATTCTCTTGCTAGCATTTGGTATCAATTCTTGTACTTCTAATGTTCACCACAAAGTACCGTTGAGGGCAGTGCGTATATTTATCCACATCACAACACGTGCAGAGAACATGACACAAGCTCGGCGATTAGGTGCCGTACGCAAGCGCCGGTTCGAGTCACGCATGCAGTACATATTTACTATAATTCGACCATGGATGTACTAGTGCATCCATGATTTGACGTAGTATTTACCTTGCCGTTTATTCGGTGTTATTTGCTTACTTTAGTTCACGCTTCATGTATTCTAAAAACATACAAAATGTTCTTCTTTTCTTGTTTTTTCCAACCAAACGTACTTTATAACCGATCTATATAATTCTTAGATATTGTACTAAGGAAATCGCAGCACATAGCTGTGTCTTTAAATAGACGAAACAAAGAAATATTCATGATACTATACGCTGCCAGCAATCTGATTAAAATAAGATCCTAGTTTGGGCTTTTTTTTTTTTTTTTTTTTTTTTTGTTAAAACAATATCATTCATATTTTTTTCATATATTCTATTATTTTTTTTTAAATTTATTTGCTGGTATTTTATTTAAAAAAGCAACAAACTAGGATCTTATTTTAATCAGATTGACGCTGCCAGTTGCTGAGAAAAAGTACTTATGTTGGTGCTTCCCCCAAAATGCACATTATTTTAACACTTCTATAAATTGTCTTTCACCGGACATTAGGGGAAATATAATGGGGTCCAAAATAGTCAGCCAATATGTTTTAATCGAAATCATTGTACAGTGGTACAAATCATAGAATTCTGGGTAATTTATAGTGCCGTGTGGTATGCTGGTCATATACTTTGTTCATGGTATGTTGCGCAATAAAAACTTGTTCTGTTCTGCTTACAACCTTATAAATTATATAAATTTATGATTTATGTGTACAGATATATATTTGCCTGACACCCATTTCATATATCCATAGTCCCCAGTCCCTCCAATTCCTACCGACCAGACCCCCGCCAGTTCTACCGGGAACCCCCTTACGCGATAAATAATGACGGGTTCTTTACAATTCTGACCAACAACGCGCAAGAACAATATTGCCACTATTTTATAGTCATGTTTAGTAAAATAGTCTCAAAGACGGAGCTGCGTCACGAGTCTTCAATCGTTGCCAGGGCCAATCACAGATAAGAATAATAGACAATGGATTTTCAGATCAACACCTCTGTTTTCCCCCACGATACGCTAAAAAATATGTTGTCTTCTACTGACTTCCTGTTCCGTTTCGTCTTTGAGAATTGCTTTTCAAACAGTCATGATTGATGAAATATACACAAAATTCAACTTCGTTTTATTTATTTATTTGTTGCTACCCTTTTACATCAGAGGCTCACCTATAAGTAAGTAATTAGGAGCTGCAATAACATTATTGGAAATGCACATACTATATAACGAAAGAGCTTTTTTAATTTTCTGCTGACTAAAGTGTACAACTTGGTGTTCATCTAGATCTACACTTTTATGATATCATGAATACATTTTGGCCAGTTCCAGGACATTCTGAAAGTTGTGTTGTTTTTGTTATTTTCATCATTTTGATTATTTAAAATATTAAAATTAACTTTCAGCCATCTGGAATCTGACATATGACACAATCTTTGGTAGTATTTTAGTTTCATGAATCTAGTTACATCTCATTGTGAACAACCCCAAATCAACAAGGACAGCCTCATTTGCAGTATTTCTGCATGCACCCAGAATGAATTTCCCTGTCTGTCCTTGAAGCTTTTTTTAGCTCCATACTTGATACAGACTACATAAAAAAGTAACATATTTGATTACTATCTAGTATCAGAAATGTAGTGTGTGAATGTCTTCATTCTCCGCACTTCGCGAAGCCTCGTGGGTATGAACAGGGAGGTGTGGTTATTCAAATCCAATGTGCTAACTGACTGTTAAAATGTTGTGACGGTGTATAAATAAATATAGAAAGCTTTCCTTCAAACACATAACAAAAGACGGTTTATTTACCGTCACTGTTGCATAACAGTGATTGACAAGCGTTTATTCACAAGGAACAATGGATGGTTGTTCTCGCTCCATTAAATAGTCAGAATGGAGGTTGAATAAATGAATATTTGTTGCTGAGTGAAATAATCAGATTGTGACAAGATGTAGAGTCATGTTTTTTTTCCAGTTCCATGGTATAAAAAGGGTCATAGTGGCATCAAAACATCGCGCGAACTCGACAGACGCTAAAGTATTTCTAGGTGCTATAAAAATATATTCGAGTAAAAAAACACAACTTTTCAGGACGGTAAAGACAGTTTTTGATAATTTTTGCCAAACTTTGGCTCAGTAAACGAGCATATTTTCAAAATCTTATGATAGACAGGGTATTTTTTTTTTCTTCAAAAAAGTTTACCCATATTTTGAGAATAGGCGAAAACGAAAGGTTGAGTTTCAACCAACGAGAGCTGGCGTTGTTTAATGACGTCATACAGTTTGAGCACATCTAAAATGTGTTAATATCAACACCTACATTAGATAAAAAATAGTTCTACATTTTCACATTATAGAAATATGTGTTGTTCTCTTATTTACCCGGTATATGTAATATTATTATCTATATTATTAATATTTGGAAAATTTGAAAATAAATAATATAGATTTACAGGAAGAAAGAATACCATTGATTCTGTTTGCGGATTGATATTGGCCCACACAAAAGGCATTCGGCTTACCGGCGGCTTGGTGACGTTCTTGGGCAGTTAAATATCTGTTCATACTGTCGTTGTGTTGAGTGCTTTTATCTGAATTTTTAGCAATTTTATCCGATTCTGACAACAAAAGATGTCTCGTTTTGACCGTGACCGATCCTACGATTCTTCCAGTCGGTCTGACAGGAGAGGGTAAGTACATTTGTAGGTTTAAAGTTGAAATAAGAAATTGCCAATTTGAAGAACGACACTGCAACTGGGGAAAAAAATGGCCGCTTTTCACAAAATCAGACCGCATGGCTGAAATTAAAAACTTGTCTGAATGTCATCATTTTCAAAAGATGTAATTTTAATGTTATTTGTATCCCTGTGTTTTTTCTTAAAACTTCGTCGTCCGATATGGCTTCAATTAACGTTTAATATGTAGGTCAAATAAATTAATGCGATGACTCGACTTTTTCAGTTATCGCCTGACGTACTTCCGGCGAAATATATGAATTCCAAGAAAAAATTATTGATTGCTCTACTCTGTGTTTGTATATTTTCTATCGTAACAAAAGGTCATTGTCAGTTTGTTTTTTATATACCTAGTAGTGGCTGATGTCGTTCAAACAACGAATGTGGTTCCGCGCTAGTTTCTGAAAGTTTGTGCACTTCAATGTTGGCGTTGCACGCATTAGAACAAAGGCCTGTTGAGTTCCAACGAAGGAGCTTTGAATTAAAGTTGTTTTAACTAGTCAAAATTTACATGCCTATACGAGTGTCCGTAGTGTCGCTGCACCAACAATAAAATCTGCAGAAAAGTAACTGTTTTATACATTATCTTAGATTTGGTCCTCCTGGTAGAGGCGGAAGAGGTGGTGGCAGCAGTCATCAGTTTGGTAGTGGATTTAATGGTCCACCACGATTTGGTGGTCGTGGAGGAGGTGGCATGGGTGGTAAGAGCAATAGCCAGCCTGGGGAGAAACTGAGAAAAATCAAGTGGGATTTGGAAAGTTTGCCTCGTTTCGAGAAGAATTTTTACAGAGAACACCCTGATGTTGCCAGAAGAGAACAAGTAAGTATGCTTTTCAGTATGGCTAATTTATCAGTTTTATGTTTGGTTCCTCACAACTTGCTTGATCTGTACAAACTTTTACAAGTTTTGTAACATTTTTTTTCCAGCATGAACTTGAAGCATTCCAGAATGAAAAACAGATAACAACAAAAGGACGAGGTGTTCCAAAACCAGTATTCCATTTTGGGGAATGTTCTTTCCCAGGTATGTAATGGTCTTGTTGAAAAAAATATGTACTATTCTAACTAAGGTAGTTTCAGTTCATAATTTTTCAAGTGGTGACTAACATTCCAATCAATTTCAGACTATATCCTGGCTACTGTCAAAAGAAATAATTTCAAAGAGCCAACAGCAATTCAAGCTCAAGGTTGGCCCATGGCTTTGACTGGACGAGATGTGGTTGGTATTGCTCAGACTGGATCTGGCAAGACTATAGCTGTAAGTATGGGTTTGCCTTGTTAGTTTCTTTCGTGGTTTCCTCTTTGACATTCTAATGTTTGTCACTTTTTCTAATTTTTTTTAAAACTTTTTTTGTAGTACATGTTGCCAGCTATTGTTCATATCAACCACCAGCCATTCTTGGACCGTGGAGATGGACCAATTGTAAGTTTTGCCATTGATCATGATCTATAGATAAAAACCCAATTTATTATATAATTTTTTCTGAAATATTTAGATTGTGGTATTGTAATTTGTGATTGAAATATTAATAATATTCTGCAGTGTTTGGTGTTATGTCCAACAAGAGAATTGGCTCAGCAAGTAGCCCATGTTGCTGTTGATTTTGGGAAATCTTCCAGAATAAAGAATACTTGTGTTTATGGTGGAGCTCCAAAAGGATCCCAGATTAGAGATCTTGAGAGAGGTAGGATTTTGATACATTTGATTTCATGTGCATAGACTTAATTAAATTATTCAGAATCTTTCATAATCAGAATTAAATTTTTTTTTATGTATATAGGAGTTGAAATTTGTATTGCCACTCCTGGTAGATTACTCGACTTCTTGGAGGCAGGAAAGACAAACTTGAGGAGGTGCACATACTTGGTACTTGATGAGGCCGACAGAATGTTGGACATGGGTTTTGAACCTCAAATCAGAAAAATTATTGAGCAGATTAGAGTAAGTATTATTTTCTCATGCTTTTTCATATTTTTGCCAGTCTCGCATCATAGATTGAACTTAAAACTCTTTAATTTGTATGGAAAGAAGTGCCACTTTCATAATGCTATTTCATAATTAGTGTTAAAAGTTGTTAGCTTATGTGAAGTAAATTTAAAGACTAAGTTTAAGGCTACGGCTGAAGGTTACGGCGGCCAATGATTATTGCAGCGACTTGCACACATCTTGTTGGTCCGTGCTCCCTCCCAACAGTTGCTTGAAACCTTACTTTGATTCTTTGAATTGTAGCCCGACAGACAGGTACTAATGTGGAGTGCCACTTGGCCAAAAGAAGTAAGAGGACTGGCAGAAGACTTTCTAAAAGATTATCTTCAAGTAAATATTGGTGCATTATCCTTGTCCGCCAATCACAATATTCTGCAGATTGTTGATGTTTGTCAAGAGCACGAGAAAGATGACAAGTGAGTATTTCAACACCTAAATGATGTTTGAAATTGTGCAAGTTGATGGATCCTAGGGTGTATTGCCTTATTTATACTAATTTTGGTGTAGTGTGAGTGAAAGGCTACTATGGCATTACCCCCCCTCCCCCCTCCCACACACAAAAACAAAACTGTCACATCAGCATTTGACTACCAAAACAGCAACATGGCAACTAAGTTGCTGTCTAATTTGCTATGCCTGTTATACTGATAAGGTCGACTCTAATTTAGGTAGGAAAGATTAAAATGTTCCAAAAATTTGAATCCTTACAGAAACTATTTTCTTTCATCAGGCTAATAAGACTGTTAGAAGAAATCATGCAAGAGAATGAGAACAAAACGCTGATCTTTGTTGAGACCAAAAAAAGAACAGATGACTTAACTCGAAGAATGAGAAGAGATGGGTAAGTTTAGTTGAATATTTACAAGTACAAATGTTATATTGTTATAAAATGTGTTATAAATATTAGTTAACTTTTCTCTATTTATTTTTCAGGTGGCCTGCTATGTGTATTCATGGTGACAAATCGCAGCCTGAACGAGACTGGGTTCTCAGTGGTAAATAAACTTCAATGTACATCTTTAAAAATTCCAGTTATTTAGTTCAGTACTGTCTAACTTGGATTAATATTGCAGTTGACATGTAAATATAGTGACTCGCAATATTCAACCTTGTAATGTCTACACTACACTCTTCTACTTCTACAGAATTCAGAGCAGGAAATGCTCCTATTCTTCTAGCTACAGACGTTGCATCACGTGGCTTAGGTATGTATCTTTTCATATCATCTTTGTCACTTGTGTGTTATTTGTATTTTAAATTTTCATGCTACATGGTAAATTCTGTTTATAATATAACACTGCATGGTGTAAATTACAAGTTTATTGTAGCTCACACATTGTCCCATATTCTGTGTGTACACTATTTTGTGTGCATAATAAAGTGTCAAGTTTGTGAATTTCATGGATAAGCCCACTCTCACTTTTTTGTTCTTTTGAGTTTGGTCTTTTCTGTAGATACTGACTGCAGCAGGACCCGTGGCATGACAGTGGTCGATTTGTCGAGGGAGATGAGCGTTTCATAGTTAAAAACACATCAGCAGCCTGTGTCTGTGGCTAGACAAATGGAACTTCATTGGCTGGTCATACTAATTTGGGCAGTGAGACCTGTTTGTTTCTTGCATCCTACACGAAGGCAGTGGGGTGCAATCTGTTTGTTTTTTATAGACTTGAAAAAAAAATCAATTTTCACCTTTATAGTTTATTTTAAATTTTTTTTTTCTTGCATTGAAGACTTGAAATGTCATGGTGCACTTTTACAGTCCATTTTTTAATGAGACCATACAATGTTCATATTCTTTTATGCCATCATGCTGCTGATTCTGTGTGATGCAGAAAGGTATGCACGGCAGTGAAGAAGAGTTTGTTCCATGGATACGCAATAAGCTAGGACAGTTTAGATTGAGCAATAGGCGCCCACTTAGTTAGCTTTGTTTTTATCAACGCTTCTACATACTACTGAAAGGAAAAGAAGACGTTCTCTCCCTCACCACTTGTGATTTGGTGTCATGTCTGGGATTGCCTGCCAACTGCAGCGGTAAGAGTATAAACAAGCTTTTCTTATGACAACAATAATTATTTACCAGTAATGAAAGACTCTTTGTCAATGCAAAAAAAAACACCCTTGGACTTCAGTGCTTTTATGATGCAACATGGCTCTTCAAGTTGCCTTTTATTTGAATCAAAATTTCTGTGAAGATCTGCGGGTGGTCATTTATTGGCTGCCAGGGTTTTTCATGTCACAGAAAAAAAATCAAGGACTACCAGGAGGTGCTTCAGTCAGCCCTTGGTTTTCTGCTTATATAAAGTATAATACGGAGTTCGACGGAAACTTGCGGCTCCTGGCAAGAAAACTTTTCAAGAAAGTCACTGGGATTATTTGCTGAAAATATCACATTTTGACAAAGAGTGTTGTTTAAGATGCATACTCCTGTGAAGGTAAGGTAAAAAACCTTCTTGCTCCTAATGAATGTTGCATTGGGAAGTTGCCTCTGCAATGTTGCTTCCCTGGTGCCATGAAGGAGCTCAACCAGGCAACTCGGAAGAATGCTGCAGCCGTTTTGTCAACAAGGTAGGTCAAGGTGACATCTTGCGGGAGTGTGCATCAGAACTGGTTTCTTTACCCACAGTATTGATGGTGAAATGGTGCATTTCTAAAAAAATTATTTCTGAGCTTCACATTGCAGATAATTATTTGAATTGCAAAGCCTACGTCAGCTGCTCATTTGTTTGCCGTTTGTGTTGCTAATTTGAATTTTTGGTTCGATTTGTCCCATTGTTATGGTGTATGTTTCACACTGTGGCAAACAATAGATGTGACAGACATCAAATTTGTGATAAACTTTGATTATCCAAGTTCAACTGAGGACTATATTCATCGTATTGGACGTACTGCTCGAAGTGAGCGTACAGGTACTGCATATACATTCTTCACTGCTGGCAATATGAAGCAAGCCCCCGAGTTGATTGATGTCCTACGAGAGGCTAACCAAGTGATTAATCCAAAGTTGATCAATATGGCCGAGGCGGCCAGAAAGTCATTTGGTGGCAGAGGTCAGTATGTTTCTTGTATTTAAGTTAGCGTTTTTAGCTTTGCTACAGGTACATATTAAAAGTTGAAAATATCATTATTTAATGTGGTTGGCAGCCATGTTATGGTTTAATTCTATCCTGTTCACAAAATTCTAATTTTGTAATTTACTGTATTGATCAACTTTTAGCACAAAACATGGATGAAAATGTTTTTTAGGCTATTTACCATTGGTCCAGTGCTAAAAAAGTTCTTGCCATATTTTGTAACTATTTGCCTACATATGTTAAATGGTATGTTGTAAACACTAATTACTACCATGAAAAATGTCAACCACTTTTAATTATAAACTGATTAGTTTTCAAAATAAAAATTGTTTTGAACTGGTCAAGTAAAAAAAGACTATTACAATAACATTGGATAGCATTCATGGTGCATAATTTGTTGTCAAAGCAATGTTTCATGTTCAAAAAATAAGTTGGTGCTAATAAGTTACAATGGCTACAACATCCAGTCATGGTAGTGACATGGCAAGAACATTTAGGTAAGGGTAACCATGGCAGTATCTCATTGTACAGTACATTACTATGTATCAACTGACTACTGAGACAGTGGTACGATTTTGACCATATCATTTGCTAAATTGAGACCAAGATTTAATATCGCTCTCCTAATTTGCAAGATTTTAATCACTCGCATTCATGTGTTCAAAAAGTAGTTTTATCAACAATAGGGCCTGTAAAAGTAAGGAAAATTTCACTTTGACGCATTTCCAAGTCTTTGTATTGTTTCCTCCACCACATAAACTATTTTTCATTTATGTTGGTTTGTTGGTTGTAATTTCTTAGCACTTTCCTGTATTTGTCCCTGGTCATGAATATTTCATTACCATACAAATTTAATCATGCAAGTACTCCGCCTTTTTAACCAACTGTGTATTTGTGCTTGTTTCATGCAGGTGGTCGTAGTCGCTACAGGACATCTGGTTCTTTTGGAGGTGGTAGTCGCGATAAACCAGGGTTCAAGCAAGGATTCAAGTCTTATGGGAGCCAAGGGGGGTCTAGAGGTGGGGGTTACGGGGGGTCGGATCGCCAGGGTGGTTCAAAGAGTTATGGGCAGGGGGGACAATCCAGTAGGGCACCATACAACAGAGGTGGTCAGAAGCATGGAGGGTATGGTCAAAGTTATGGACAGAATGGTAGTTCTCAAAGCAGTTATGGGTCTGGGGGATCAAGTTCACAACAGAGTGCTCCAACTCCATTGCTTGGTCAAATGAATGGTTATAATTCCAGCAGTGCATCTGCTCCATCCTCTACTTCTCAGTCGTCTAATACGCAGTCACAACAGTATGGTAATATCCAGCAACAGTACCAAGCATATGCCATGCAGTACGCCGCTTATCAACAGCAACAGCAATCTCAACAACCTGCGCAGTAGTTAAATTTTTTGGTTCTTATTGTTGGTTTTGTGTTTGTAAAGTCATTTTTAAGTATTCAGAGTTAGAACATGTGGACCAATCTATCATGAAGTCTTTTCAGGACATTGAAATTATTTTTTTATTATATAAATGTTGTTGGGAGGGATTATGAGAGTATGCCATCGGTTGGTGGTTTGGTGTTATTTTTTATCTTGATGCAGCATAAAGGACTACAGAAGAAAATGGTATGTCGTTTAACGCAACATTTTTCTGCTGTCACATTTGTATTATTTATTACATTTGACTGTTCGTTATTTTTCCCCCATATTAGGTAGTTTCTTGTAAAAATTAATATTCCACTATTAGGAATCCTGTAATAAATCTTTGAAAACCTTAATTTTTTGCGTTTTAATTCAATGCATAGACTGTTCCAATGAGTGTTGCATTTTTACCTAGTTTCCTCGCCCACACTAGTCTGGCTGTGAACTCTATATCCTTCCTGACACAATAAAAAAAATTAGGTATATTGCAGCAGAAACTATTTCAGCATGACATGTAGTGTTAAGATTGTCTGGAGCAATTTTAAGCATGTATATGGTAGTCATACATTGTAATGTAACAATGAGGACTTGTAGTCAAACTACATCTAATAGAACCTGTTTATCAACACTGGATGATTTAGAGCAGTTGACCAAGTTTGTAAGAATCATTAGCTGGTGTGTTGTCTAGTCACCATTTTGGATAGTTTAATTAAAAATACAAACTATTCAATCTGCACAGACTTTCACTGTAATGTATGGACACAAATTTTGGCACAAGCAAGGCGGGTCCATATGAATGCAACTGGTAATCTCTACTAACGTGGAGCATTCTTTGAATGTGCAGAATAATCTGGCCTCAATTCAACTGCAGTATGAATGTACAATTCCGCCTAACGCAAAAATATAATGCATAGCTCTATAGCCTGGCTACCAATTCTGTATACTTCTGCTTAGATTCTAAAAAAAATGTCATTTTTTGGCATAAAAAATAAATATTGGAATATCTTTCAGAGGAATACGATGCATCTTTACTTTAAAAAATTGACCATTACATGTGTATAGCACATTAATCTCGTAAATGTTACACTCTCTCGTTACTATTCACAAGTCTGAGTGTAACAACTGGGGGAAAGTGGGAATTTCGCGCATATTTACAACTACTTTTTGTCTCTCGAAATTGAAACCAGGATCACGCGGGGATGCTTTGACATGTTTGTGTCAGTTGTCCAATTAGCTTCATGCCACCCGTATTTCCCATTTACATGCACCAATTTTTGTGCTAGATCCAGCGGGCGGTGATTATAGGCAGCTGTGCAAAGTATCACAGCAGAGTCTCTGGGCTAATTTTGCGCACAATCTCGCAGTGAATGTAAAATGGTCATTGCATGTCTGATAAACCGCAATTTGTTTGCGATGTACTTTTGCATACTCTTGTATATTGTGCATATACTTTACATGATCTAAGAAAGAACTCGTGCAAGTATTTGACTCCTTCCAAACTGAAAACTATGATCCACATTGTTGAAGTTTAATACTTAAAGATAATGCATTTGGTTTTCAGTTATTCCAGAGCATCCTCTATCACAAGTTCAATTTTTTTTAAGACAGCAAAAATTGGCTAATCAATGTGCATGTTCTTCATTGTTAAACTAATTGCATCTATGAACCAAATTTCAATAAAATGCCATTATGCAAATTCAGCATCTACCAGTAGTATGTTCCAATCCCAATGCAATGCATATAGCAAAATGCAAAAATTTTTATTTGATAAAAATGGGTAAATTATAGTACATAGATTTCATCCTCAAACTAATTAGGTCTGTATTGTTCCAGCGCATACGTGTACAGAGTTTCATTATGGGACGATTAATTCTTGAAAACAAAATTGAAGAAAATTATGCACGGTTATAAAGCCAAACCTAATCGGGTCTATGCATTGTCCTAGAGCATTTATGTACCATGTTTCATTGTAATGAGACTTAATAATTAAGATGCCAGTGGGGAAAAGCCAAAAATTATGCATGGATAGAGCATGTGTGCATAAAGTTTCATCAAAAACCAGCATACGGTTCTTCACATCAGTGAAACACTCCCACATACTATTATACATCTGTCTTTGTAATACCACAAGTTACAGCGTGCTGTAATTCTGCGGTATTGCACTGGGTATTTTCGTCTTATTAGGAAATGGGAGTTCCAAATATGAAACCATTACGTGTGCAAGTGACCTCTTAAAAAAAAAACATGGCGGCCCCCAGGGTTCAAACAGATCAGACTTAAAAAAAGTTTGTAACTTTTTGGATTTCGCATTTCCATGATGTATCATGGGAGGAAAAGATGTATAAGGGTATTACGAAGATACCGCAAAGTATGCACTCTGACAGTACGTCATCGCATCGATACTCCTGTACTCGTGCATATCTTTGTATCGTTGACCAAAGTTATTATAGTAAGCATGAAAAGATTATTTGCGAGTTGAATCAAGTATTGCATCCTGAATACTGGAAGACATGTTGAACTGCATTCTCGGAACCACATCTCTAGAGTGTTATCCAGAAAATGCTTGCCTATCTCTGGTATTTTGATTTACTTGATAGTAGTCTAATTGGAACAAACTTCAATGGAACAAATGTATGTACTTCAACCCAGGAGGAAGAGAATTACCGGTAATACAAATTCGTCAATCAAGTATTCAGCACTCGATAAATTGTAGATTCTCGAAATGAAGCTGCTGTTTGGCGTATTGTTAGTCCCCGTTCGGACATAGTCCGAAAACGGGGACTTGTGTTTTGCCCTGTG